GACATGATGCGTGAAAAATCGGAACTGATTCTCACTTTAGACCCGCGATCTCAGAGAAAGGACTTCAGTAGAAAATATTGGGTGAGAAAGACCACATTTTTATACAATTCACTAATTTCGTGGTCCGCTTTACCAATTAATATATTGCAATTAATTAAGGTTTTTAGTTGAGATAAAAAAGTCAAAGGCACGAGCGGGATTCGAACCCCACGATCTTCGGTTAGATACGCCGCTGCTCTACCACTTGAGCTGTCGTGACCTGGATCCACTCGGACACTAACTTCCCATCTCAACCCCACCTTTTTTCCCCCTCATTTTTGCCATATTTCAAATGTCGTGTAATTGTATTGGATTCTCGGCGCAAATGAAATGGCTACGGAGAGCTTTAGTGAAGTATACATCATTTTAATTCATTAAATTCACTAATTTCGTGGTCCGCTTGACCAACTAATATATTACAATTAATTAAGGCTTTAGTTGAGATAAAAAAGTCAATGGCACGAGCGGGATTCGAACCCACGATCTTCGGCTAGATACGCCGCTGCTGTACCACTTGAGCTATCGTGACCTCGATCCACTCGGACACTAACTTCCCATCTCAACCCCACCTTTTTTTTTTTAATTTTCCTTCCTTTTTGCCATATTTCAAATGTCGTATGATCGGATTGGATTCTCGGCGACAAATGAAATGGCCACGGCGAGCTTTAGTGAAGTATACTTCATTTTAATTCATTACATTCATTTTATACAATAGTGATCTCTTCAAAAACCAGAGACTCGTTTCCTTTGACTATTCTATTTAGTTATTCAGTTTGAAGATATTGTGTAGACATTTTTTTTTAAATTTACTTCCATTCATACCGAGACGGCGCTGATGTAGGGAGGTTTTACTTATATTTTGAACTCCACTTGACGGCAATGTTTGACATGCCCTAGTTCCTCACTTCGATGTTTTCCACCATTGTTATTTCATTCTATTTGATGCCAGACTGAATGAATTCTATTTAATTCAGGCAAGTTAAACAGATATCACACGCTTCATTTGGAAAGTTAAAACTTTTTCATTCTGCAACAAAGGCTTATTTTGATGCTCTAGCTCAATCGAGTTCCTTCTGACCATAATAAGGTTTCTTCTCTTCCTTCTAATGGTGAGTGTTTCGAGGGGATATGTGAGAATCCATCTAGCTATTTTAAGAACAGTATTTCGAAATGCCACGATTTTTGTCAGTAGTATTTCGACTAGTGGTCATTTTTATCGAACTTCCAGTTGCTGGGTAAATCCTTGTATTAATGATCTAGCCTTGGCGCATTTGAGACTGTCATCGATTATAATTTGGGTTTGTTTGTACAGCTTCATCCTACTTCGAATATACAAATTTTCTGAACAAACAACAAACGTCCCAGTGTTGTTTCTTACTCTGGACATCGCAATCCTGTTCTTGGTGAGCTACATATCTTTCTAGGTATTCCCATGTCCTACTTGGATCAAATTTTTTGGTCATCTTATTTGTCAAGGACTTAGATTTACATTTGGCATTATTACGTGTTACACGAGTTTTTTTTCTTTCATAAAAACACTGGTACATCACTCAGCAGACTACACGGAGAAACTACAATTATTTCTTTCTGTTGGCCCAAATTAGTCATCTCTATTCATTTATTGTCTATTTTCTGCTAATAAACCGAATTCAATACCCATTTGTCAATTCAGAAAATCCAAAAACGTTTCTTCATTCGAACAACAAAAACCCAATGAATTTTAGATTTCCCTTTCTTTTTTTTCTTTAAAATCTTCCATACCCAAAAATAGAAGTAGTCATTTCTAGCAATAAATATCTAGACGTTTACAGGTTTCATCTATTCGGCTTGTTCTTCGTTTAAATCGTCACATATCAGCAATTAGATGGAGTTGTGACTTTACGCCGGCGAGTCCTATCGTCAAACTACAATGCAAAATATTTGGCTTTTCTATACATTTTATTGTATACTACCCATGTTGGGTGCCTGGCACACGAGGCATAGAAGCAACGAAAAGGGTGACATGTTGGCCAAAGAGGGAGCCAACATGGATTTCTAGGTCCAGAACCCTACTGTGGCTTAGTGTCCTGCCACATAAGAAGGTATATCTTACAATGGATTCTTAATGAGTCCAAACCACCAGGTGGATCAATACCACAGGCATGAGGGACGCGAAGTATCGTAGAAGAACCATCCACAAAACTTACTGGAAGTCAACCGCGACCGAACCGGGATTCTGGTTGGACTCCTGACAGGGCACTGCAACTTAAGAAAGCACATGCCCTGGATAGGAGTACAGACAGAAGAAACACTGTGCAGATACTGGCAGGAAGAGACCACAGAACACATTTTATGTTTCAGTGAAGGTTTATGTACGAGCAGGTTATTGCACCTAAGACAGAAAAAACCACCAGCATGATCCTACACTAAGGAGCCGCTGGCGAGGTTATGGAGATTGATTAACCACCTGAAACTGGCCAGTAAGATGTAATGATAGGAAAGCGCAATAGATCTGCTCAGGTCGAGGTACAGAAGTCCTTATGGCCGCCTCTTTTATCCCTATACGGCCCACATAGGTTTATTGTCATTTCCAATAGCTCAGTTCATCTATTCAAAAATGTTGGTTATGTATGCGTCATGTTTGGCTTTTTTTACGCAACCTACTAGGTGGTACCTACATCCTGCAAGGTTCGCATAATTTTAAGGGAGTTTATAAATACTTAATATAAATCTTGTTTACCTTATCATTACCTTGTCGGAATGTAAATGTCTCGATTAACATAGCGAATTAAAATTAATAATACTATAAAAGTAAAGTGTTGTTCCTTAAGGTTTCTGTCACCCAATGATGGACGGAGGGAAATCTTAACTGTTGCAGACATAAAACTGTTCAGAACCAGCAAGCGTATTAAATTTTTGATATTACCTGACCTTTTTACATTCGCAACTTTAATCACTGAAGTGTTCATTTGTATAAATGTATACATTAACAATGCTCTAACGAGCACCAAGGACTTCTACTGGACGAGTTAATGAGCCAGTTATTGTGTAATTTTAATTATCTGCCACGTTTATTGTCAGTATAACATATATCGACCTAAGTAATTAATTGTTTCTAAATCTTTTCAAATGTACTATTTATCTTACTGGAGAAGTTATAATTAAGGGAAAAAATAATTTTTGTCTTTATTCAATACAGAGAGTAGCGACGGTGATGTACTTCCTTTCAAGCACAGTGTACACATGGGAAGACCAGTTGCGGACTCCTTCAGAGGCGGTAACTTGCCTACGTACCTCTACGATAAAAATTACTACATGAATTATGGATACTATCCAAGAAATGAAAATGGCTTCCAATTACATCGGTCTTATGAACGCCCTGCCATCGGAGAGAAAAGATGGTTGGATACTTTGGGTGGAGGAAACCTATTATGAAATCCCGGCTGTTAATATCCGGAGATTAAAAAGAAAAATAGCAGAACAGAAATATTTTAGCCATTACCTGTATATGTATTTCTGTTAATAAAAATGTTAAATGTTTGCATGCTAGTGTATTTTTAACTAATAAATAATTTCTCTGACGCTTATACTCTCTTGCGTAGTGCGCATTTTTCGTGATTGCATAATAAAACAGTCTCAGGAGCGAGAGATGGCACAAACCCGATTTAAAAGATCCTAAATTTAAATGCACAAGTTCATTCATAGTTTTCATTATTATTTAACTTCAGTGAAGTATGGAGTGTAGGCCAAATAAATGTCGGTCAGGCCTCCTCTCGACCCTGTGCCCTTTTGCAGCATATCAAATTTCAAAAAAAAGTAGATCCATCAGCAATGAGTTAGAAAGTCCTTAGTTCAATGGGACTATATCCTTACTGTATCCTGTATCTGTAAAAAGTTTAACGCAGAAATTAATACAGAACTACTATAACTGGGACGTTAGGTCTAGAATGTTAGTTTCGAATCGGTGAGTACATGTTAAACTGGCACTGGGTCACTTACCAGGCACTGCTTTGCCCTCACTGGAGAATTTAATCTATCAAAAATTCACGCAAATAACAATAAATATGTAGAGCAACACAAACTCATTCATACAACTAAAAACACTAAATAACTTTTTTTTTTTAAATACAACGGAAATAACCTATATCAGCGGCAACCGCCGGACCGGACCATAAAGAGGACCTACTCGGACCACGAGACAGATAATTTTTCACTGAAGACGGCACAAAGCCAAAACGCTTTTGAGTAACATCAAAAAACCGTGAGTGTAGATGGACCTATTAAGTGACCCTGTGGCGGTTCAATATAATTATTTTCCCTTTGATGCGAAGGCCCATGCAGATTCTTACTCGTGGGGAAGGAAAATTCGCTAAACGTAACGTCGTAAAAACGCCTAATTCATTATTCGAGCTTGAAATAACAATCATAGTTTCATCGTTATATACTTTTATCATTTTATTATCTATTTAAACCTTTCAAAAGTTTTAAACTTATAAAACAATGTATACACTTTTGTCTTGCCTTGAATTCCTCTATGTTTGCATGAACAAAAAAACCTAGTAGCCAAAAATTTCCTAACTAAAATCTCTTACCTAAGAATCACTTTAGTTGTTTTCTAGTTCTTGTTGTTCTGTTTGTTGTTCAGGTCGATAAAATTATTTCGAATTATTGACGTAAACGTCTGGATAATAGAAGTATGCTTTAGTTATTTGTATTAATTTGTGTATTTTATCTAATATTTTTAGTGTTATTTTAAGCTATTTACTTTGATGCAACGATGCATGGTTAATTGTTTGAATGGCATGGAAAGCATCACTACTTCACTGAAAGGTAATGTTACCTAATATTTTTTATACATATACACCGAGCTTAATGGGAAATTCACTTTTTTTTCTGTTGTAACTAACCTTTATTATTAACATCTAATAATCTGAAATTCAATTGTTAATGAGTCATTATCATCACATTTTTTATTTATTCAGGTGGCGGCCATCTTTTAAGGGATTTAGAAAGCGCCCTACGAGAGAACCCCATGGTTTATGAAAGACCTTCTAGGAACCTGGACTCACTAGACGGAGTGACATTTGGCTCATCAAAAAGAAATTCCGTGTAAGAAAAAAAAGGAAAACAAGTAAAATAATAGAAAAAACTTATAAGAAGCTCATATCTATCTATACTTTCTTGTGTATATGTATTAGACTCGTCCCAGATTGAAATTTCAATATTCAAAGGACCAATCGGTATAACTAGGATCGTGGTAAAGTTCAATTCCACTGTATTTTTAACAACAACATTGAACATTCTGAAACATCTTTGTAAAAGTACAAACTGGATACCACGGATTCCAATTCAATGTTTAACTTCTTGCCAGTAAATATATATTATGTTTGTCACTTGATCACCATACTCCGTCACTCTCGCTTCTGTATAATATACTTTCAAAGAGAAAAAACCCGTAAACACTACATTAATCACTTATTGTTTACCTTTATGGAGTGTTACTAATTCTTTTGCACTTTGGATTAAAAATAAAGTAACTCAATCCTTTCCAGAACCAACTTGTCGAGTGAGTTAATTAGTTTTTTAAATTGTTTTCTTTGATGAAACAATAAATTTGAGTATGAAGTTCATTACTAATATTTTCTTAAAAACGTGGTTTTAATTCGAAAAGATGAAAAAAAAAGCCCTGGCCGATGCTTTGGCCAACGACGGATGTAGCGTCCGTTACGTATCCCACGTCCTGGGTGTGCCCACATTGGTCTACAGCGGTTTAAGGCAACCGGAAGTCTCGAGTTAAGAGAAGGTAGTGGTCGATTGCAATGTACGATGGCCAGAATCGATCGTTTTATTGCTCTTACTGCACTACGTACCGTCATTAAACAGCTTCCTCGATAGTCAACTCCAAACAGTCCAAACAGGGTGAGCTCTAAAACCTTCAACATAAATAGTCATCAGAATGCTTCGTGAGAATAGCCTCTTTTCTAGACGTCCCACATCAGGTTCTCTACTAAAAAGGCATCGAATAAAAGGGCGACTATCCTATTATATAAGACACTGTGTGCAGAAGACGTGGAGAACGCTTTGCTTCATGTGCCATGCACGAGTCATAGCCTATTTTTTTATGCATAGTTTTTACGAGGGTTTGCAACATTGTGTTCCCCAGTACTCATCGTCAACAAGTCAAGAGGATCTTTAGCGTCCGCACCTGGCCTTTTGGCCTTATCGGACGTTTTGATTCTCAAAATGAGAGCTGACGCACCTCCGCATACGACAGAATGGTGTTACTGCCTAAGCGTTGGTATAGAGGCCCCCCAGCCCCTAAGGGCCGAGACAACCTCGCTCTCCGCTTGTCCACTCCGACTGTGCATCGGATCGTAAGCCGCACGCGAGGGGCTAACAGGCCGAAATACATCACCCTGTCTTCCCCTCCGCTTACTCCCTAGATAGAGAAGGCCACTCTATCTCCCTGAGTATAGGGGCTTCACAGCGTAGAAACTTCCGGGAACGCCCCGGCAGCGGTTTAGTTTAAAGTGGAATTGCTAACCACACCCTAGATTAGCACCGCCTATGGCAAAGTCAATTATCGAGCTCAGTCAACATCTGTCATGCGCATTCGAAGGACGCCATAGGCTCAGCCTAAGTGGTCAAATCCTTCGCTTCCCCAAGGGTACCACGCCGGTCATACGCACAACAATACAAAGCATACTCTAGTCAGAGACACCGATTCACTACCCGCTTCCATTCGTTTACTCATGCATTCGAGGGACTATAGCATGATCATTGCGTCCTCAACGCTTACACGCTGTCGTCCGGTCACAACGTCTCCCGTGAGGCCGAGGGGTTTTACGTTGGCCATACGCCAGCTTCACTAAGGTCACAGATAGAAGACAGCCTCTGTCTAAGTTCCCGCCTGGGACGTCACCACGCGCCCCCACGAATCCATTCCCAGTGTAACTAGGGCTGAATTTGGAAAGTTTAGTTACCCTGGTACAGATGGCCATACACCCTCCCCCGTCTATGCAGACAGCATCTAGTGCACTGGCCCTCGTGTGACTCTGCTAAGGCACCCGCCGCCCATACCGACCCTAGGCCGACACGAGTACAGCTTGTGCTTGAGAGAGGTTGCCACGCCCTCTGGGCTGCACCTTTATTTTGTGCCCGGATACACCCCTTGTAACCAAGGGTAGGAGGGGTCACAGGATAGAATGGAGGAGCTCGGATTGAGAAAAAGGGCCGTGGATGACAACACGAGGTGAGCCGTTTCGGGGTCTCGAGTCTCAAACCACACTATTCCACCGTTGTCGCCGTAGTTCCACATAAAGTGGGCCACGACTCCCAAGGTGGGTCGAGGGTTCGCAACAGCAGAGGTCATATAAACCCTCAGGTTGCCACTGTTTTTGAAAAAAAAAAGCCCATTTGTTAGTATGTCGTGTTCAAATGCAGGGCCGCTGGATTCGAACCCGGAACCTTTACCCTACACTGATGAGCGCCGTGTCAAACCCTAAACTTTGCGGCCACCGACGCCCCCGCAGTCTATTTCAAAACACTGTATATGATGGAACCAACGCCCGTTCCCGTACCAAACTGATTATCACAGAATAGATCTTTGACTACACTGAGAAAGGTTTTCTGGAAGCCTGGTCTCATTCACTCCACCTATTGGAGACAACTTCGTGTTAAAGCAAGATAATGCTCGACTGCATGTAGTTCGGAGTCGTCACCCATTACTTGGAGTATGTAAGGATTACATATTGAAATTAATTGGTTGTTGGAATGAATCCCATAGAACATTTATGGGATAAATTAAGAGACGGGTCAGCAGACATCGTTCACTGCCTCAAACAAACGTTGAACATCTTTCTATCACTAAATGATTTTACGGTATTTTGTTGAATTTTTTTTAAACCTTCATAATTTAATCATTTTTATTAAAACTCACAAATTTCTGAGCTAGTTTACATTAAAATAAGTATGTTGTCATTAATATAGCAATAGAAATAAAATGTAGTTTGAAATAAACAACAAAATCCGAGGTCCGGTTTTTTGACTTGAGACTGAGATTTTATTTATTTTGTTTTATTTTTATTATGAATTCAGGTTATCGAAATGTAGAAAACGAGCGAGGAATATTGTCCGATTTAGGAAAAGTGTAGTTGGATTTTAGTGCCGACACGTTTGAACGAAGAAAAGAGGTACATACATCTTCATCGCGTTACCTGTCCATACACCAATCGAGTTTGAACCGCATCTGCCAACGGACAAAAATCATCATGATTCATCGCCTTTTGCATAATTTCTACTGTCAAAATACAACCAATATCGCGCACACGTAAAATCCAAAAATATATAATTAAAGAGCATCGTTGTAGAATATGATTCTCGTCTTTATATGTTTTCAACTTTGGGTCCCATAATTTAACGTATTCCCAGTCGTCAATTAAATCCTATTTAAAATTTCTGTTTATAATCATATTAGTCCGATATTCTCTGAAAAACCCAAAACTTAAAAAATACTATTGAAATTACATACTAATATACATATTTCATGTGAAGAAATTGTTACATCAGTAAAAAGATGAGAATATAAACTCAATTATCAGAAGGGGTGCTTGCATAGTGTAGCCGGCCATCTTGGATCGAAATGCATGTGTCTGTAAGACATGACCGGTATAGCAATAACAAGCCAATCCCTATGACAATCTACATCCTAGACTCTTAATAAATGACCGAATTCATCCGTATTTGCAGTTTTCAATCAGAAAAGTATTTCTAAAAATTATACCCTTTTTATTTTGCAATGGAGTCTAGTAATTTTTGTTATAAAGCCTTCTCAATTATTAGAATAATATTAAATTTGTTAACGGCTATTGTTATTCAATCCTTTTTATAGTTGGTCACCTTAGTTTTATATACATGTCATGAGCATGCATTCGGATCTGTACCCAGACTCTAACCAACCAATAATAATTTTATAAGGACTTATTGGTCATTGACACAATTGACTATACGCTTATATTAAAAATAAGCTTTCTTCCCTCTTCACTAATAGCGTACATTTTTTATTTAGCTTAAAAAAAGTCCCTGCAATATTTCAGTTACTACAAAAAACAACTTATTGGTATTAGGAATTAATTGTAATTTCTGTGCGATCGATCAGCTTTTATTCAATAATAGTCGCATGTAGGGTTGTGGTCACAACCCAAATCCAAGGGACTACAATGGAATTAGGAATTAGACATCAATATGGCAGTCATAGACCAATATTTTCTCGGTCCTGCCGATTTGTCTCTACAACTAGGTCCTTTCATCGTTACCGACCATTTTGGTCCGTCTACCCTCGACGGGTTGGTCTGTCAGACGCGCACTTCCCCATCACCAGTGTTGGGTCTAAACTAAACCAGCACTGTCTGGTTTATATGGCGGGTATGGCAGGAGTTCTGCCCCGAGTTAATTTTCTTTTTTATCACTCTGTCTCTCCCTGTTTATATCCCCAATAATGAAGACTGCAAAATGCCAAAATGCACCTGACAGTCCAACCCAGCGAGGACTAGAAGAGTAAAATGATCGGTAACGATCAAGTACAGGTTGATCTCTTCTCATACAACGCGGAAAAACCTCACGATTTAAGTTTATTTGCAGATCGTGAGATGCGGTCTGGTGTGACGTAGGTTTTAGAAAAACATTTTCTTTATCGTGCCAACGTTTCGATCTTTATTGAGATCATCTTCAGGGCNCTATCACAGTAATAGTGAATTACAAAAAATATTCTAGGAATAGAGAAAAATCCTCTAACTTAAAATATACAGAGATCGTGAGTTGCGGTCTGGTGTGACGTAGGTTTTAGAAAAACATTTTCTTTATCGTGCCAACGTTTCGATCTTTATTGAGATCATCTTCAGGGCTCAAAGTATTTGTGCTGTGTGTCGTGTTGGGTGTGCCCACAAAACTCACAATTTATGTTATTTCAGCCAAAAACTAATTTTTTTAAGTCTTGACACACCCATATTCTCACTTATTCTTAAACTCTTTCCTGCATAAATACAATTTAATTAGGGCGAAGCAAGTTTTATATATTTAATAGATAATTGTGAGACTAAATTTCGCCCTGAACCATCTCACACAAATAAATACACTCAATCTTATAATGCACAACAAAAAAAACATATATTATATCAAACATGCAAATACGTCCGTTTGCTCCGAAAAATTGGAAAAGGGGAACAAACATGATCACCATTTCTCGCTTTATATATAGAGCCAAGGAATTAAACCCTTGAATTACGTATTACATATGTTACCAATATTTAACAAATAACATTGCTATTTTTTTCTGCATTTATAATATATTTTCATATTAATTACATTAGTCAATTACACGTTTTGATTATGTATATTTCACTAAACTCGCGCATTATTACAAGTCAATTTTATTGGACACTATAAATCTATATATACATTTGTAAATCTTCGTGTTTTTAAGGATCCCATGTAGATTGGTACGTAAAGGAAGCTTTTCCTCTTCGACCTTCTTGCAGATGTCCTGACGTGCATGATCTAGCCGGGGGCATTCCAGAAAGACATGGTTTGAATCTTCGATCGCTGCTCTCTGACACCGCCCACAATGAGGTGACTCTTTTATGCCTATGCGGTGTAGGAGTGACGCCAGTCGATGATGGTTGAGTCGCAGACGAATCAGTGTGATGTAGAATTTCCTTTTCTCTTTGAATGAATGGTACCATGCTCTTGCAGGGACACGAGGGACTAGGGTTCCATAATACTTTCCTCTCTCCTGTAGGGATGTGCCACAACCTTCGTTCCACGAAGAGAAAACATTTTTTTTATTTGGGCTACTATGTCTAAAGTCGTAATCATTTGATCTCTGCTTTCGCCCGTTGAAGTCGCCTCCTTGGCTAATCGGTCCACCTTTTCGTTTCCGTGTACTCCGCCGTGCCCTTTGGTCCATATAATCGCGGCTGTGTGTTCTTGCAACTCAAACATCAGAGATCTGATCGTGAATATCATTTTTGGGCTTTTGGAGCTAGGTGCGTTAATGCTTAGCACTGCACTTAGGGAATCTGAGATGACTACTATCCTGGGCATCATTTCACGATTGGCATATAGCAATGCATTGCTATTTACAAACGAAATGAGAAAATCATAACTTCAAAGTTCATCTTCGGCAATTTTTTAGCATCAGGTCAGTCTATGGGGCTCGATTCCTCACAATGGAATTGGTTTTAATAATGGACTAATAAACATTACAACCAAATGAATTTTTGACTTTCATCTCAAGGAAAAGAGGGAAACTGGTCTCAATCAAAATACCTACAAATAAATAATTTAAAGTTAAGATCTAAGATATGAATTTGCTCTATGTTATTATTATTGGATTGATGTTTCAGCTGGGAATCATAATACGTTTCACAAGCCCAATTTTAAATTCTCAATGGTCATATGGCTTAACCATCAAGCTGTGGAAGAATTAATCATAAATCATAAACGCTCTCAAGGCGGTGCGGACCGCGGAGGGCTCAGCCTTCCTCATATGTACCGACTCTCTGAGCGCTGTCTGGGCTGTACGCGACAGGTTCTCTGTGGACCCTCTCGTCGTGCTCTTCTTAGAGAAATACGCGGAGCTGGACTCTCTCGGAAAAACGGTGGTAGTTGTCTGGATTCCCGGACACGTCGGCCTGGAGGGTAACGAACGCGCGGACGAGGCGGCGAAAGCCGGTACGTCCCACCCTCCGGATCGGACCATCGCGATCAGGCCCCCTGACGCTAAACACGCACTAAAAATATGATAAAAGAAAGATGGCAGCGTCCGTGGGCGGGATCGTCGGAGAGGCTCTTGCGAGTCAAGAGCACGACTGGTAGATGGCCCTCAGGAGACGAGAGATCGTCCTCACCCGACTGAGGATTGGCCATATGCGGTTGACACATGGGCACCTGATTTTGGGCCAAAGCCCGCGCAGGTGCCCCTGATGCAGAGAAAGGTTTCTCGATGTGTCCCACGTAATAGAGGCGTGTCATGCCTTTGCGCCATACAGAGAGCGTGTAGGCATGCCGCCGGACTTTTTAGGGGAAATTGGGGTTTTTTATTGTATATAGTATGTCTTATGTGTTGTGTGTCTATATGTTTTGTCTGCATGTATTTATTAGCGTGAATGGCGAGGGGTGAGGGTGAAATATAACGTCATCATCGCCCCTCGAACTTAGAGAGCGTTTGAATGTGTGTTCGGGATCGATGGCGGAATATTTATAAAATACTCCATCGACCCCAATCTAGATTAGTTTGAGTGTAGGTCGGTGGAGAATATCAAGTACTCCACCGACCAAACGGAATGAGTGTATTGTATGAATGTATTTATTTGTATGAATGTAGTGTTTGAAAGTGTAAATAGAATATTGACTTAGTTTGGTGCTGAAATGACCTAGATGTCGGAAGCCCCAGTAAATTTAAAAAAATTGATCATAAATCAAAGAAGAAAAACGTCATTTTAATAAAAATAGTTAGCACCTAGTTACAATGCCCGATGCTTAAAGGGATCTCCTTCTTCGCTTGGAAGTTTATTCCTGATCTGCCAATGAACAAAAACCATCACGATCGATAATGTTCAGCCAATTCAAACTTCATCCAGCATCACAACGTTATGTCACAGGGCATAATTATACAACGAATGTATTCTACAGAGAAAAAAGCTTGGAAATGTTTTCGAAACTTTGAACATTTCAAAATATTATAACTGATTAACTGCATACTTATTAATAACAACATATAACTTAAATATTACAACTGCATTTGTTTTATTTTACAGTGATCCCTCTGAGACAAAGAGGAACATGGATGAGATTGACAGAGCTGGATTCGACACATTCGTCAAGAGACAACTCTACAACGTTGGACTAGCCGACCGAGTTGCAAGAAAACGGAACTTTGTACCTTCACATTATGAGATGTACGGCAATTACAACCCGGTCCCATTCTTTTAGATCTGTTCGAGACTATCTATCACGCCCCGAATCCATCCAGATGATACTTCAATCGGAAAAGCAATTCCCCAAATTACACTCTTTTCTCTTTGTTTTAAAATAAAGTCATATTTGGTATCGTAGCTTTAGCCTCTATTGATGTGTCGCACTCGGTTTTGTTAACAAGTCTAAACGAAATTGTAGAATTGTAATTGTATGTTTACAAAAAAATTTATTAAATTGTTTTCCCTTGTAAATGTTCAGTATAAATTGTATTTTATTTCCCTAAGCCTATATACTTAAATAAAAGGAATTTCTTAATGTTTTAGCAATATTTTTCCTGTGATTCATTAACACATTATTATTTTAAGAAGTGCACTAACTGGGGCGCCTTATTAACTTTTTGGCGTCAGTGTTAAAATTTAAAATTTATGCACTAGTTCGTTTTTACTGATTGGTTATTTTTTGTCATGTTGTCTTTAAAAAAATGATCTTAAATAAATTAATACATGTTTAGCGGTCATAATTGACCATATTAATTATTTCAATGAATTATTCTTTTTATCTAAGGTCTTGGTTGAGATGAAAAAGTTAGTGTCACGGGATGTCAACAATTTGTAACGATAGCTCAAGTGGTTAGAGCAGCGGCGTATTGAGCCGAAGGTCGTGGGTTCGAATCCCGCTCGTGACACTAACGTTTTCATCTCAACCAAGACCTCAGATAAAAAGAATAATTACTTAAGTAAATGTTGAAGTAGTGAGGGGTGTCAGGTGAGATGTATTTCACAAAAAACACCTTCATTTTATTGCCGATTGAAGTTTCGACCTTTATTCGGGTCATCTTCAAGGCCTGGGCAAATTACAAACATAATTATGCTGATTAGAAAAAATTTAATTATACAATAAAAATATAACGTAAAGTAAGTAATACACATAAGCAGAGTCGACTTAAAGCTAATTTTCTATACACTATAAGTCACTTATTTCATCAAAGCGACAATTCACGGTAATATAGCAAAGTCCAATATTCGATGAAAAATACTTGATCCACGGACTTAAAACACTTGATTGTAGAAAAATATGATTGTTGGGTAGCCGATTTTTGGAAAAATTTAAGGACGAGAGGTAACCAGAGATTTTGAAGGAAGTACTATTTTGCGATAGAGACTATTTGAACAGGCGTGCATCACTGCTTCAAATAAAAATAATAGTTAATTCCTAGTCAGAGAATTTAAAGCATGTATATTGTCTGGGAAGACTGGAGGCGTAAGGTGGTCACAGGAAAAAATTTCTTGAAGAAAAAAAAATACTCCAGACCTTCCCGAAAAGAAGAAACGCTTCTGATTCGGCTTTGAATCGGCCACTCCCGGCTCACCCAGTATCCTCCTCGAAAGGAACCTTAAACCGATGTTTTCAATCTGTACATCTCTTATCATTATTTCCCACACCATAATTAATGCACTTTTAACAATGCCACACCACGACCAAATCCACTCCAATATTTAAGCAGGGCTTCTAGTGTCGGGCGTCTTGAACTGGATTGATGGGTGCTTCCCCGGACTCGGGGATCAAAGTAAATCCAGTGAGCTTGCTTGTTGACTAGAAACCAACCCCTACTCGATAAAGCCCTCCTGTGCGAATTGTAATATTTAATAGGATTTGACGCCGAAGGGCTGCCTCTGCATCGTGATATGCGGGGGCCTGGCTATACCGCACAGAAAAAAAGGCTCTATTGATAAATGTGAGGAATCCTCAGATGTCTTATCGATTTTTTTATCAAAAAAAGCAACCTTCTCATTAAAAAGTCGTTTGAGTTTGAGACTAGATATATACTTAAACATTTAATTAAAATCCGAATCTGACAACAGAGTTAATATAATACTTATTTTAGAGAATAACTACAAATAAAGGAGAACTTTAAACACGCCATCGTGTCGACATGGAAAGCCTGGTAAAGTGCCGTAAAGTATGCTCTGTTTTTTTGTTGACTACGCCTTTTATTGAAATGCTATGCAGATAATAGTAACCCAATAATGAAGATTAAGCATAATTTCTTATATTTATTTCCCATTGGGTTGTCTATCAAGATTGTCTCTATTAAAAACTGCTCTATTATTTTTTTTTATAATCCTGAGTCGGAAACATTCCTGTTTTGAATCTCACCACTTTTCATTTCTCATTCTCATTGACTTTTTGGCAGATAGACATTATGTCCATGTCTATTAGTGTTTTCAAAAATTAATATTATAATAATTTTATAGATTGTTAAGTAATAAAGCAAATTTATTATTATTATTTTCATTGAAGTTGAAATTTGTACCGTCGAAATCGTCGGAATTCTGTCCCAGGCAAAAAGGTGTATTGACGTGCGAAGAGCCGTCAAGAAAACAATTTCTTTATCATATTGAATTAATCAACTGAATTTGATTAAACCTGCCATAACCATTAATCAGTCGTCGAATGTTGAACTAATTGTCAGAATCAATTCAATTGAAACACTCCTGGAGACAATTAAGTCCATTTAGACTTAATTTATTAGCATTGTTGGCCAAATTTCTATTCATTTTGAAAATTATCTCTTTAATACTTTATTCGACGACTCATATATTCTATTGAGGATCCCCTATGGTTTAGATCATACCATGAAAAGAGGACTTATTCCCACAGCTCTTTTCTCGGGGTCTCTTCGCGATTTTCTCTTGGTGTAACTTTCAAAAAGGATGTGCCGAATTCTCTAGAGTCTCTTGGCAGTCACTGTTTTGGTTATCATCTTTAGGTGTAAGTTAAGTGGCTGGTAGAAAAGTTTTTTTTTTTAACTTGGCTGCTGAGAGATAAGAGTTCCTTCGCCTTCCTTTTTGTGAGATCCACGAATCTGTTTGTGCTTTTCTCCATTGCTTCAATTTTTCTCTCAAGCCAACTTAATACATTTTCCGGTGCGCCTCGAAGTATTTACAGAGAGGGCTGTTTCATTTGGCTAGTTGGTCAGCTTGTTCGTTTCATTCTGTACCTTCACGTTACGGATCAACTCAAGGTAAGCTTGTTGTGTTTTTCCTGAATCTAGAAGTAAATTTTTTTCATTAACACTAGGTAGCATATGCATTAAGTACATTTGCAGTGCCTGACTGTTCAACTCCTATCAACCGCTGTGCACGAAGTTGAACGCATTGACTTCAACTTGAATTAAGGTGGAACCAGTTCAAGGGGTTTTCCTAGGGTGTAATTCGGTCACTACTTCATGGTGATCCATCTGGGCCCTTTCCCGAACTTTTGGGCTCCCCTTGGCAAAAGCCACCTCTTGTTCATGAATATACAAAGGTAGATTGTTGCAGTTCTAGCAATGCTGGGACTGAGTCGGTCTGTACAAAAATTTGAAATCGACCTTAAAATAGGGCGAAGGCTCGGCAGTAACAACTGAATTTGTGATTCATAGAATTTGGCAGTAGAAAAGTGGTCGATTCATATAACACTTCGTACATTAATGTGTAAAGTTGAGAGATCGAGTGCGATTCGGAACCGAACTACGACGGCCGTTCAACAGCTGAACTATTTGACCAAACGGACGACCGGCAATATAGCCGAACGCCGTCGTCCACTAAAGCCGATTTTCGTCAGTTCACGACACAGCCCAAATGGATGTAGAAGATATGTTGCTGCTCGAAAATTCTTAGTTTACATACAAATGGAATGAAAGAAATAAATAAAAATATTGGAAGTTCCATTTCTAAAGCTATCCTTGACCACAGCTTACGCTGGACATCTCTCCGATGATAGAGTGGATCACGCATGTCCCAAGAGCCTGCTCCTCAACCGCACTTATCAATTTTTCGCAATCCATCGAAATGAAAACGAAACGAAAAGGTAAGCAAAAAGCAAAGAACAGAACGAAAAATTTGGCCGAATAGGACTGGAAAATCCAACTTTATTTGGATCGGAAAGTGCTTCGGCCGTACACGGCCCAACACGACCGAACGAATTGGTTCTAATGGACGCGTGCTCATTCGTTTCTTCGCTTTTGGACCATCCGGCCCTATTCGGCCGAAAACGGCTTCAGTGACGGCCTACCAGGCTTTGTCAAGAGTTATACCTAGGTTTCTTTGGAAAAGGTTTAGGCTTCTAGAGTTAGATAAACAATAGCCGATGGAATGAAATATAAATCTGGCAACTTTCCTTTTACGATTAAAACATTCAACATCAAACAACTGTATTTAAAATTCTTATGTATTAGATTATGTAGTAAAAATCAAAGCAAAAAAAGCTATTTAAATACATTTTTGTCTTTACACAAAGCGACTAGAGAATCAAAGTGTATTTTTAATTTAATAACCGACATGGTGACTAAACCGTACAGGTTAAAATTACAACAACGAATACTCCAACTGCTATGGATATGTTAATTTAAAATTTTTAATAAAAGAATGAAAAGTAAATTATCGATCCCTGGATTTCTCCCTATGTTCAGAGGCATTGCCGACTAAACTTATGTCCACTGACAGTAATTAAGCTAATGGACCAAGACAGTATTAATTCTAATTGGGGCCCGACAGTGGCGAAGGTCCAAATATGTTTTTTATAATAAAATGATAAAACGTCTCTTTACTTAACCAGTTAATGGAAAATTAAGCCTAATTTTCATATCGTTATGCTGAATACGAAATTAGGACGATATTTTACCCTTTTTTTAAATAAGTTATCAAATATTTTTCCGTTAATACACGGAGAAGAGAATTTTCAATTTTATTGTACGTAATATACTTTTGTGAGCTTGGATAGGATCGGCTTCACCTTACAATTGTATTCAGATGATGGACTTATGGTAATGACCCTTATTCAAGGAAAGGATTTAGGCATCCTATCTGTGTTCTGATGCAAAATGCATTAACCTCGCAGAGAATTGGAGCTCCTGCATGGAAGAATGATTATTTCCCATGCATGTTTGTATATAATAAGTCATATTTATTGAGTGTATGTAGAGATCTTTACAGTATTTTTGATTAAGTTAACATTAGTCTTAGTTTTTGTGGTTTATTTTTATATACATAAAAAATGCACCTTATACGGTTTTCAAGTCGGCAATCAATTAAATAAGAAAGCATTTCAAGAACATTCAGAATCTGAGAGAAATGTTCATAATGTCGAATATTGTCATCATCATTATATTATCGACTGAGATATGAATGACTTGTTTTGTTTTTTCTCACAAAAATGGATTTACTCGTTTACCCGAGAGCACAGACCTTTTTGAAGGAAATTGAATTTGGTTCTGGCAAAGTGACATTCGCGAGAGTGAACATTAACCGACTTTACCCCAATCCCGGTTTAAACCAATGGAATTAG